AGGCCCCAAGATGCCATTAGATTTCACTTACCCTTGCCCAGGGTGCTTCCATGATGGACTGCAGTATCAACCCCGCTCAGGTCTAATTAGCACCCCGACGGGATTCTCATTGTGTAAAACGCAACCGTTACCTTAAGCGATCTAGGGCTACTAAGTTTTTTTTCAAGAATCACTGATAGAATCAAAAATTACTACATAAAAATTAAGAAAAGTCGTCGATTGCAATAGCAAACCTGTATGCTTATTTGACAACTCACTATAAATGTGATTTAGGTGAGATATGACTTGCCTTGTATGTCAGATTTGTCCTGTGATCTTTTGGCACTCACCTTTGTGTTGTGGTGTAGTAATGCTGCTACGATACTCGCAACCCGGTATCAAATACTACTGTGGTTGCAGATTAGACCTAGACTGGTCAAAACGCAACTATCAGTACTTAACTGCTCTTGTGACCTTGATTGCTCGAGTTATTTTTCAAGAATGACTGATAGTAAAACCACTCATAAAATCACTTTCGAAAACCACTTACATTGAAAGTATTATCTTATAGTAACAGTTAACCTCGTAAGCCAAATAAACCTTTATATAAGCAGTAAATGCGGGTTTCTTCACAACGAATAACCCTTGTTTAAGGAGGTATGTTGGCGAGATATGGAAATATTCATATCCTATGAATACACCCTGTGAATCAAAAGTTCTGGTTTCCCTGCAAAACTACTTGCACAGTCTTATTTTACTTTATTTTTGTTTCTTGCTCGTATGAAATCTTTGAATATGCTTACTCTAATTGATTTAAATAGTCTTAACATGCTTATATTCACAAATGGGTCTCTTATTTTTAAGTCTGATTTTTGTCTTTCTTCTTCTGTATGTGATGACTCGGACCCGGTCTAAGCACACTAGATAGTTAATGAATATCCAGATCTCCCACCCCACTTCAGCCCCAAAGAGATATAGAAGGGCTCGTATTGGTGTTTTATAACCTTACTAAACATAGACTGGCATTCTTCTTTTGGAATATAGTAAACCTCGCTTTAAGAAGACAACGTTAATCGTATTTCCCATTTAATATCTAATGATAATAAAAGAAAATGGATTCATTTTTTTATAAAATCCTACCTCGCGGTTGATGTAAACTTAATATTTGTTGAGGTATGCTAATTAAGACAAATTTTTAATTCGATTGGTAGCAAGTCTGTCTTTGATTAATTAAGGCAAATGCCCGAGTTTTTTTAATATTTCAATATGTTATTCTTATTTAAAATACGGTATCAAGTCTTGTGATGACCAAAAAATGCCTACTGCAGGCTTAAAGGGATATCTTTTGAGCTTCCAAAAAGTTCATAGCTCTAGTCCCATGCGTTCATCGTTAATCTTATCCATGCTAAAACCTGAGTTTCTTGTAAATGCCGAGTTATAACTGCTTCATGATGAACCTTTTGGGCTAAACAAGGAAAAATATGTATTGAACTCAAGGGCTATCTAATGCAACCATTATGCTAGGACAATCGTACGAGGAACGCGTCCTTAACCTTGTTACTTTGTAATTATTTTTGATTTTTTCTGTTTTCGTGAAGTCTATCAAAAAGGGGTTTAAAAGGGTGTGTTGGAACAAATATACGAATTTTTGTTTATTTTTTGTTAAAATAAGCATGGTTTACAGAGTGAATATTCTTCATCTTTACCGAGTGCATCTCTAATATGACCTTCCTTCAACATCTTCCACCCTTATTTAATTATATCCGTTTTATCCAATCAGGTCATTTTGCCTTAGCAATTTTATATATGCAAACTAGCATATACAGTGCTGAAGTCGATTGATTATAATTTTTATTTGGACTTCCCACCCTTGATCATCTTTAGCCTAAATCAATGCATACGGTGACATTTAATAATGTAAACATGGTCAATTTTACTATGGTACAATTATTGATCCGTTTATATTTGGACCGATGGGGCTATTGGGAAATTTTAGCCCGATTAAAAGATAAACTATTTAGATACCAAATACAAGCAACATACTCTTTCCGTACGCCTCTCTGCAAGCTATTATTGCTTCCTTTCTTTTTTGCGCATGCTTTATGATCCCAAAATTTCTTGGACTTACTGCTTCGAATCGGATCACAATTTTGTTTGACTTATACCTAATGGTTGCCTTATAGCATTATTTGTAATTCTTATATCCGCTATAAAGAATGCTAGAATATATTCAGATGCTTTATTATGTAGCTCAGTCTTGATCAGGCGACTAATTTGCGATACTAACTGCCCAGACCGACAACTCATTCGGTTAATTTATGATAATTTCACACTTTTGGGGTTTTCATTGATGTGAGTAGATTTTTTTCTTCACTCCACTACAGGAGTGATTTAGGAGAATTCTTTTTGGGATAAATTGTTACGATTGTTCGTATTTACTTCGAATTCATGACCTTACGAAGCTGGTACCATCAGTGTCTATACTGTTGTGCTTTGACAAAAAGGGCCTGAAGTGAATTCGGTGAAACCTGGACAGAGTATAAGGAATCGTTGCTCGCCCTTTTTACCCATCACATCTGGGAACTATACCCTAATCTGATTCCGGGGCTATTCCATATCCAAGTCCTTTGACCAAGAGGAAACTACCCATGTCCATTACTAGCGAGTTTACTTTGGGTCGGTAACAATTATGAATAACTGTTTTTTCTCGTAATGTAGGCTCGTTAGCGCTCTTATTTAAGATACTTCGCATCACTTCTATCAGACTAGCTAAAAAACGACTCCAGATTTTCAAATCTACTGTCGCACCTATACTTCTAATTTGCAACGTTGTTGTGATCTCGCGTTATCTCTATTTACAGTTTCTATCTATCTACACCACAGCACAATATAAAGGGGATAAGAAGCCAGTGGTATCAAGGAGGTGGGGTACGCTATCTACTTGTTGTTATTGCGTGGGTTCAGATTTGGCGGGAGGTATGTCGTTCTTTGTAGCAGATAGAGCAAGATTAGGCCTTTGGCATTAGATGTGAGTGAGGCATGGGTGATTGTATCCATGCAAATTGGCTAAAATGTTCTCAAGCCACAGTTCATGCGAAAGCCTATAATCTTTTTCTGCGGCTTCCAGGCTGGACCTGCGGCTTGAAACGTGAGAATTAAGCCGGCAAGCCAAACTGGCCATGGCCGGAACATCCCAAGTTGGCCCAGTTGCCTGACTTCCCTTTGGCAGCATTGGTGTCGCCGCGTGGTAACTGATTTATGACTGAACCTCAAGTATAGTACGTGGGGCCTTAGGGTAGGTAGGAAAAACGGCCGGTGTTACTCGTCGGCATGGCAGCTAAGAGACAAATGACCATTTGCAAAATAAATTTACATATAATTGCTCTCTCTCTCTCTCTGTGCAACGCGGACTTGATGAAAATGCCAATCAAATGGTAGTGTCGCATTTAGCTTGTCAACAAAATATAAAAACCTTGACAAAACACAAGCGTATTAGAAGATCTGGCAAACCATTTTATGATACAATTTAATAAGAAACATTTATTTGTTACATAGTGCTACCCTAAAACTCAGCTTGTTCTGAGTCTTCTGTCATTATATTCGTATTTGGGTATAGTTTAGAGACTACCAGTAAATCGGTAATATGAGATGTATTCACTCTATTTCGTCTAAGGTGATGAAGGACCGGTAGTAGCTCAACTTACA